TTAAAGGAATTATTCCATTTACTAGTTAGGAACAAAGTGGACATTTATAAGGATTGATAACGATGATGAAGCTATAATTGAAGATGGAAAAGACTTTTTGCAAATAAAATTCTGTTAACCATTAGAATTTCAGAATTATAAATTGAATTATCCGTATGCGTGTGAATCATTCATTTAATTATTTCAAATTTACGCAAAGTTGCGCGTGCCTCGAGTTCTCACGCTTTTAACAATGAGAACATTCATTCGAGTTGAGAAACACGATTCGCGGCTTGGACAAACGGTTCTTCTCAAGACTTAATCGTTTGTAAGAGAATGCACCTTTAATGCAAAATAGGGTAGACTCATTCCACGTATTTCTCGTCCGTCCAACAATGAGTAATTTTATCGATTCAAAAGGAAAGCAATTTTAACGATGCAATTTACCATCTATTAAAGTTTGATATATATTTTACTTTTCCAAACGTGCGATTTAAAAAAATTAGTAATCTATAAATTTTCTCATAGTGATTTTACTGGCATTAGAAGTATAGATATTGATTACTCCGTTTTATTGTAAAATGATAAATCAAGGAGGGATATATATATATATATATATATATATATATATGTGTGAAGCCATATATCGAGCCTTTGCAGATATGCCCGGACGCGAAACCACACTTTGTTCAAAGGGACACCACCCGGTTAATAATACACAAACAATATAGGTGACGTTGTAAGCAGTAGATGACGAATTGAGGGTACCTGTTACCCGCTCTGTATGAAATATCAACCACTATGAAACTTGAACGCCCTGAGAAACTTGGGCCATCCTTTCCTGGCACGCTCGGTTGACAATCTAGCGGCTGCCAGACGACGTAAGGTCATCAATGCAACAAGAATCTGGAAAACTTTTCTCTCACCAATCATCACCCTTCTTTATAAGCTTGATATTATTTTCGCATCTCAAGTCGCAGAGTATTTATATTTTGTGCCTATACAATCCATTTTTTGATGCAGTGAAAAAATTATTATTTAATTCGGTTATTTTATTATCAAATATTTTATTTTCATTAGATAATAAGTCTAATCTGTTTCTGTACGCCAAAAATAAATTCATTTCAAATTTTGTACTGCAGACTATAATTTAGCTATGACGTTAAATTCAAACATTACGGTTTTCTTTATGAACCGAATTTTGATATTGTTTGGTACTTCCTGTTTTTAGTTGACAGTTTCTCATCATTGTAACAAGTATATGTATATCGTTGAGTATTGGATAACAGGATCTCACGCTACGTACTGAGCCGACTAACCTGCTGCAACTCAACCCACTCACTTGCGCACAGTCTTAGAACTCCAATATTGCCTCCTCCATTTACATCGTTGTTGCATCTTCTTTCATATACCTTTTCCTCACACTGCAATAACTGCTCACTGCACACTGCATTGAATTTAATGTTCATCTTTTGTAAATAGACGAATATTTTGAAATACATTTTCGTTTTTATTTTATAAAATGATTTAATGACTCTTCAGTTACATGAAATTGCACTCAAAACGTTTTTTCATCATTTGGATGAATCAGTTATAAATCTTTTTTTTTTTGATAGTCTAGAGGTTTTCAGTAATAAATATTTTCAAATATGCGAAATATAAAAAATGTGTACAAGGCCAAGACGAAAGAAAGATCCAAGATGTCATATCCTGCTAATTTTTTGATAGAAATAAGTGTGGCGTGAAGTGTGAAAATCACTAAGTGTACTTTTAGGGTTGCATTAAAGGGATGAGTGACAAAAAAAGGGGGAGGGGGGGTTTCGCAATGAAATCGGGATTCGTTTGTGCCATTGGAACGAGTCGGCGCGGCAAGTAGTCCTATATACTCGATGAATTATTCAGAGTATCTTGATCTGGTCGGTTGACTGCAGACGGATTCCCGTCTTCCTCTCAATCGACGGGACTCTAGTTTTTTATGCGTTACTTCTCTGTCTTCCCCTGTTCCTCTGTTAGTTTCTCTCTTTCTCCTTTTTGCGAGAGACTGCTCGCAGATTAAGATCGCAGATCCGACTGTCAGCTGCCTCTGCTACTTGATCGTTTTGTGTGTGCGCCTTGTACGGCGCAGAAAGGACACTATTTTTTCTTCTTTTAAGTGTTTGCCCCCTCACACAAGTGCGAATGTGGCACGTTCATACCAGCTCCGGCGGCGACTTGATCATCGACATTTACCAATTTTTCTTTTCCGGTTTTTCAACTCCTGCTGAGAGAGCACTTTGCTTACAAGACATTCCTGCTTTCATAGTCTCTGCTCTACATAAAATGTTGTATTAAAAATTATATAAAAATGCAGTTTGCATGCGTTTCAATTCCCTATTTGGTAATATCAACCTTCGGTCGAAAAAATGTATATTAAATAATTTTTGACTAATTCGAGATTTCTTGTACAGTTTGAAAAATGTAATTTCAAGAAAAAGGCAAACGAAAAAGTTGTAATTCGGCTCTAGTCCACCGCTTCGACAACAAATGATCATAGCTCCGAAAATAATTTGAATTTCAGAACGGTTAAACGCTTAAAATATTCTTAATCGATTATTGTTTGACACAAATTCTACATCATTGATAAATTGTACTCTCTAAAATTATACAGAATCCTAAATTCACGTTTACTGCCCATTCGAGCAATGATGGGTACACTCATTATTTACCCTAGGGCAATAATAGATTCATTATTAACCTGCAAAGGCTATAAAAATTTTTCTAGAGTAATAATGAGTATACTTCCCACCATAAACTACTCGAACTGAGCAAACTTACGCCGATATATTGAAAAGTGACAGCAATACGCCTTGTTGCATAATATATGAATATTTCTTGTTTAATTTTACGAGGTTAAAATTCCTTACTTAAATTGTTCAATTTGAAAGCTAATAGACTTTATTCTCCTTTGCAATTGCAAAGTTTTAAACTGTTATTATACTTTTGTAGATATAATTTTAGTTTAATTTTTAGATTATTTTAGTCTATATTTGGAGATTATTTATTATTCTTAGAGTTTATTACAGTTGTGATAATTATTTCAAGTAATTCCAATTTGTATTCCGATAATATAATAATGGAGATCAGAATTATTCGCCTCTGATTTTCATGCAGATTATTTTTAGATAAGAATAAAAATAGTTGAGAATATATATAATTAAATAGACTATTCAGGTTTAGATTTCAGTATAATTTTCGATTAGCTCGAAAATCACGATTTCCCAAACCACAAGTCAACATTGTACCTTAATTAGTCTCAAGTGCTTTAGTATCAGTGTGTATGTGAGTGTGCGTAGTATCACCGATTAGGGAATAGAATTGACCTAGTTGATGGGTCTTAACACTCAACTCACTTATCCAATAATTCGCCTCAGTGCAAAATCGATCCCCTAATGAAAATGACTTTTTTTATTATTTTATATTTACTCTTCTCTGTATATACGATCTTTATACAAAAAAGTATAAGAAGTTTTATTATGATTCTCGAATCTTTTGAGGTTCTTTTCTCCACATAATTGTATCGGTGTCTTAATCAGCGTGTAAGCCACCAGGCCGTAAGCACAAATGTTCACCTCTCTCACTTGCCTCGGTGCTCTGCATCTCAAAGGCGCAATTTAAAAGTATGTTAAGTTGCTGGCATTACGTGCAATGTACTTATTTTCCATCGTTTCTCGTCTGACATGAATTTAGATTATGCTCTTGTATTGTGCCTCAAGCACGCACTCTCTGTTCCCTGAAACAAAAAGAAATTTCTTCTCTCTCCATAAGAATTCTTTCTTATTTGTTCTCGTTGCACTTGAAACATGAAAATTCAATTTAATTTCAAAAAATGTTTCTTTAATTGCTATTATATTAATATAATGAAGACACAGACAAATTTTGAACAAAGTTAAATAAAAAATAGTAAAATAGAAAATCGTTAAAACATGTTGAACATCAGATGAAGAGAGGGCGTAATTGATATTAGAATAGGGTGGTCAGTGCCTACTTGGCACGTGCGGGTTTGGTTCTAAAAAGCAATAAACTCAGTCAGGAACTTAGCGAATAATGACAGTGTACCGATATCTATATGGGATCATAATAAAGCTACCTCTGTAGTTGATAGGGGTCGAGAGATGAGAATAAAGCTCCTGATGTTTTGCGAGATAATAATGCTATGCAAAGCGTTCAACTTTCAGTTTCGTCATATTAGACTTTCATTAAAATAATATCAATTCTTATTAATATTCCATACATTTTTTTACATTAAATTTTTTTCTCCATTATCTTTCTAAATATTTAAATAATTCTCACAATACTGAAACTTTTTAAAATTTTGTATTTGTGCAGAAATAATGCAATTAATAAGGCAAAAAAGTATAATAATATTTTCTGCATATGTAAAAATTTTGCCGTCATTTAATGAAAAAGTCAGATTTATAGTTTATTATGGCGGTCGTTGTAGAAATATGACTGTTGGGTCATATGATTCCACATGTAAATATTTTCCACAGGTTTTACCAGTTAAATACTTGATGAATTGAATTTTTTTCCGGGATATCGAAAACAATATATAAGGATTTTGCGAGAATATTTATATATTGTTTTTTACTTGCCCACAATTCAGCTAAATTCGTCAGGGTATTTTTACAGGTAAATTTGAGAATATTTACATGTTAATTTACCTGATCTGATAGTCACTCTTCGTTTTTGAATCAGCTATGAGTACTTATTCCAATCAGTGTATATAAAAAAATTATTGAAATTGATTAATCAGTAAAATTGCACTGATTCTTCAGCGATTTGAATAAGTGATATATGTACTTATAGCTGACAATGAGAATTGGAGATTCAGATTTTGATTAATTATCCAATATTTGATATATTTATATATTATTGTATAGCTTTTGGAAATATGTGTTTAAACTAATTTTAATGAAAATAGTAATTAGCAATGATGATGATGATGATGATGACTGATAACCGATATTTATGGGTGATTCTAGTGGGGCCTGTGTTCGGGGGTCGATGCGGCGCAGAGGCGCTTGGCTTGGGACTTCCTCTGGGCCCAGCCTACAGGTTCGCTTTACCCCCGGTACTCGCTGTTAAGACATCCCGCAACCTTGCATTCGACCAAGGTAGGCTACCAGCCATCTTCATTGTTATCAAAATTCGCATTCTCGCTTTTACTTCTTTTAGTAACCCTTATTCATTCACACCAATTAATATATACTAATATGCCACTTTAATTGCAAATTGCTTAAAAAAATTTTGCTTTCTGCTTCAAAATCCTTTTTATATACTCAGAAAAATTCCTAATAGACCTAAATTTGTTTAATTTTTGATTGAATGTATATGGTGTTATTTTCTATATATATATATGTATAGTAACTGCATTCTGCACTTAATCCTTCTAAAATCATGAGCTGTTAAGTCAGCGATAGTATGTCAGGGAAGCGTGAAGTTTAATCAGTCAATCAACTGGGATGTAAGCTGTGGCAGACCAACTTCCTGTATCCCTAACCACTGCTTCATACATCCTGCTAATTCAGCTTCCAAATCGACTTAGCCATTTGCACAATCTAAGCCCACGAGTAATGTTCATCTTCGAATCCTCACATTGCCTAACATCCGTACATAGCCATTAATTCTGTTATTGTGTTTATCAATGTCTCGGACACTCAGTGTGCCTGAACATTTCGTATACTAAATCTAAATCGATATAATTTTATGCCAATTTGTTATTAAAACATTTTATGGTGGAGTTAGAAAAAAATCTAAAGCACTGCTTTTATAAGGTGCGAATTTCATGATTAACCTCTTTCATAGAATGATGTGTCAGAATAGTTAATGTCGAAATATTTCATACGTCAGTAAAAAGTAAAAAGCTTTAACTGAACGAGTTGGTCTATACCCCCCCTAGTATGGTTACGAGGTTGCATGACATCAAAAAATATGACCTATTACATCGTCAATCGGAATACAGATTGACATGCTATATCTACCAATCAGATTGATTGCACTATTCGCTACACGCTTCTTTACATGTCATTAAAGGGATAGATATTTTGCCATTTCATATACCATAAATATCAAGAGTTTCAAGTTGTCATCAAAATACAAAGTGAATTTTTACTATAATTAGCTTTGTACTTTTTCTTAATTTTAACAGAAAAAAATAATAATTCTGCTAATGGATTTACTTAAATATTTTTTATTCGATATAGAAACAAGCTTATTGGAAGTAGGTTGTGAATATGTGCATTGTGTTGTAGTTTTTTTTTTTTGCATTTTTTAAATGGAGAGAAGAGTGATAAAAATCGGTTGGAAATTTCCTGGCTGAAAGCAATACATAGGGCGAGATTTGTTTATGTCGTCAAACTGTTACCCGCATTGGTCTATAGTCGAAAACATATTTCAATATCCGCTCTACTTTACCTTTCCGGTCGCAAATACGATTCAATATCCATATCTGCTCTGTCCTGTTTTTGGGTCTCGCTCTTTTTCAATGCGTTATCGAGTACATATAGAGGCTACAGTGTGCGGGGGTTTCCACGTGGACCGTGTAGTGTAGTGCATGCGGGCAGTATGCGAATTTACCTTTTCAATGTGCGATTCAGCAATATTACAAACAGTTCCCCTGCAGCCAATCCGCTTATACAAACAACCAAAAAGTATTCTTCAGAATAACGTGTTTCGTTTGACCGATATTTATATGATCTGTGCTATCCTTTATAGAATCAAGTGCATTTAATACCACCGCAATATTTCCTCTAATTATAATAATATTATTTTATTAGCCTAATTGAAAAATACAAAAAAATTCGTGACATTTTTCAAAATCTTTAAATTGTTTAAAGTCATATTGAAACTTTAATTCCAAAAAGCGTGTTGTAGTTTTAGTTGAAAGATGAGGACATAAAGATATACACATGAAACGGATACATCTGTATTTTGAAGACCTGCTCTTTTTTCCTCTTCCTATATCTATTCTTTCCGCTCTCTTCCTTTTTACGGTAAAATTAATGGGAAGCCTCAATAAAATGAGGCCCTCCTACATCCCTCTGGTTTGCAGTCTCTTTCGCTAAACCTCAAAGCCCAACGAAATTTTACGACGATTTTACCACTCGTCCATAAATACGTTATACAGCCGCTGACTTTTCGAGTCTTCAACTCGAATTACCCGTGCATCAATGCGGATAATAAGCCCCCCCCCCCTTTGCTTTTGCCCCAAAACGACAGTGAGCGTTTGACGAAAATGGAGTTCTTTCGTTTTAATATATTGCCGTGTAAAGCAGACGTTTAAGTACGAAATTCTAAAACTAAACAGAATTCTATGAAATTAATTTTGTATTTAAAAAAAATTAATTTTTGAAGGTCACTTAATAACTGCGAAGGATTGGAAAAATATATTAGAATCAGTGAAGCAAGAAAAGTAAAGAGGGTCCTTGGTATTTTAATAAAGAAAGAATATTGCGACACTCACTTAGTCACACTCAGTGATTACGATAAATTAAGAGACTTGAATTTTATTTTTTCATTTTTTTAACTATCATTTCCCGGCAATAAGAAAATTGTTTTTTAAAATCTTTTCCTATATCTAGAAAGAAAAAAAATATATATATAAAGTTCTTATCTAACCGTAGCCACTTAAGTGTTAAGACTTAATATACCTCTGAGAAACATTTATATACGCACTACATCTTCATCATGCAACATAGTTGCAAATGAAATAACAAATTTTACAACCGCAGAAAACGGGAAATTTGAGTCGTTTAGTAACCTGAACTATCTTCCTCCTCCCACATTCTCGTTTATATAGATGCAACAATTTAACAAACTCTGTCCGGTATTTCTTGTTTTCGAAATTTCACCCATGAATTATGTTTGATGACAGTATTTTACCTTCTTCTCGCCTTAGACACTTTTTTCAAGCAGTTGTAAATGGCTAAATGCATTCGCGGACAGAAATAGCATGCGCGCATACACACATTAAATTGTCGGCAGTGCGGGAATACTTATAAAACGAATTTTGATTACAAGCCGCAATAGAGAGGGGCTATTCGCTTGTGATTTTTACCTCTGAGCATGTTTCGATGGATTACGACCTCGCAGCCTCAAGATCGCGCTACTAGGAAAAACATTAACTCACAACCGAAACTGGTCAGTACTGCCTTTAAGTGTGTACGACGCGGCTATTAAATTTATATATATTCTTTAGCCAACACTCCATGGAGAGAGAGAGACCATTTTAAATCTTCCAAGAGAGTTGCTGCAAATTTCACTCTTTTCAAAGTTTCAACGAATCATCATCAGCATCCCGCTGTTACATTTTAATTCACCATTTCCACGAAAATTATACCATTTTATTTTTGTCCTCAGAGCATTCATTGTATTTTTATACTATACGGTGATTTATTCTCCCATCTCGTCTTTTTTCTTGGTCTATTTAATTTAGGCAAATGGCTTCGTTGAATTGAATAAAACTTGTTTTTTTTCTATATATATTTAGTAATTTTCTTTCTTAATTTATAATTTTAGTTTAATCCGCATGAAAAGTGTAAACAGATAATTTATGGTTTTGACAGTAGAAACAGTACTGCCAACTTAAATAATAGCGCTAAATTTTAAAACTATTGTAATTTAAATAAATAATAATTCATATTTTTTAATTATAAAAATAAAAAATAATTTTATATTATACAATTAATTGATGACATTAGGCATCTTCTTAGCGGTGATATAAAAAATAAAATGCCGATAATGGTTTCTTATGTAGGTCTTTATGATATAATCACGTTATCTTGCCCTTTATTTCTGTAACTACTTATTTTCCTTTTGAGTTCTTCTTTCTTCTACTTTTCATCGTCTCTCTCCTCTCTTCTGACTCTCTGAAGAGTCGAGCGCTTAGCAGAACGCGGATATCAAGCTCTCCAGCCAACCCCCCCCCCCTTCTTCCCTTGAGAATATTTAATTAGTTTTTCCATGAGAGCGCAAAGTCGCGCGGTCATAAATGTTAATTGCAGATGAAGTGGTAATAAGAAGCCCCGAATCTCCGTAGCTTGCACCCTTCATTCCGGAGCCCTTTAATTCTTACGGCACTTAACGAGCGACGAAGAAAGTTATACCGCCAGAAAAGCCACGATAGACACATTCTTACCTCGTTAAGCTCTTTCCCTGCAACCGGATGTTACAAAAGCTTTTTCTTTTTAATTTCTTCTTTTTACAGTATTTAGGGTCATTCGGCCCTGTTAAACATCTGGAAAACTTGATTATAAAACACTAAAGGCGAGGACATTTTTTTTCCAAGTATTCCTTCATAATAGCATACAAAAAGAATTTTAATTTATATTATGTTTTTATTCAATATTTTTTTTTAATTTTTATTTCACTGTTTTTTCCTTTATAATTTGTGTACTTTTGAAATTGAAAGGTTATTTTTTTATACGTTCTCCTGACGTAATTTTTAGTTTAAGTAGAGAAAAGTGTTAAGTTGTAGGTGAATAATCTAAATCTTCAATAAGTTATAGGGTGGTTTATTGGTTATCACTCCCGACTCGTGTGCGAAAGGATCAGAGTTCGATTCCCGCCGGCGAGGTTTTTTTCTGAAAACAGAGAGTCTCAGTATTTCATTGTAATATTACCTCAATATTACATGTAATGTTACACAGTAATACTACGAATCTTCCATGTAATATTACATGCTACTTGGCCTGATTCCTATGGATATTTCCCTAATTCACATTTAGAGAGTAAAATTAAGGTTTACTTATTTATTTCATCAGGATGTTACAAATATGTATATATAAGTGTGAGACTCGCGCCTCTTCTGTAAACGTAATTCGTTGACTATATCGTATATCGCGCTTGAATACACGAAAGGTTGTGAAAAATCAGTGATTGCTTTGGAGGGCGGTTGGTGAAGAAGGTTTTTTGGTGGAAGGGATGGAGTGTAGGTGAGGGTGGCTGGACAGTTTGCAAGAGGAATGGGGGAAAAAGGCACCAAAGGCAGAAAGAACGGAATTTAATTAAGTAAAATTACTGTCGCACGGAGTGAGGCGAGAAACAGCAAAACGGGGCGATGAACGCTCACCAGCCAAAAGGTGGCGATGCAAGACGCTGCCTGAAAAATAAGGAGACAGAGAGGACGGCAGTAATGATCTTATCCCCTGATAAAACAAAGTAATAGAAAGTAAACGAATTTAGAACGATCTTGTCACTTTCTTCTCTTCTCTTTCTTTGTCATCTACTTTCTTCTCATTGTCACTAGCTTTCCCTTTTTTTTTTACTTAGAAATAACAAACTTTTTTCGCTCACGGATTTTCTTCATTTTTCCGTTCTTATTTTTCTTCTGACTTCGAAAGATTAAAAGAATATTGAAGAATTTATATAAAAGTTTAACTTAGTTTTGGAAATAAATTTTGTTAATATAATAATGGAATGACTGATTGAAGGTGATATTTTCCTTCACATTTTGAAGATATCTTTAAGAGGGTGACGCGTGACGTTATTTGATTGTCAATTTAGATTCGTTTTATCTTAGAGTTACCGAGAAACTAGGCATCTTCTTTCTGAAACTCATCTTAGAGATCCATGCAATCACCTGAAACGGCCCTTGTCACCACATTTATGAAAAATAATATCGCCCTCAAAGTGGCCATGAATTCTCATATAGTTATAGTGGTTTTCGCAGACATGTATAACACACAATCGTGATCGTTTATATACAAGAACCTCTGGAGCATCTAACATTTCTTAGCTGACAGGTGTACAAGCTCGTAATGGTATATATATATAGAGAATTCGAAATAACACCTTTCGACACCACTTGATGGAAAGGTGTAATATTCAATTGTTCATTCGAGGAAAACTTTGTTGAGTCATCTAAAATTTTCAACGGATAAATATTATAAAATCACTACTTTAATGGTTCACTATAAATATATTAATATATTCAAACAATTGAAGAAATATTTAATTTCATTTTCTGTAAAACAAATATTTTAAAAACATTTTTTTTTAAAGTAAACTAATATTCTTAATTTATAAAATTATATATTTTTGTTTGTCAAATATTGCTATTAATTATCAGTTTGAGATGTCAATTTTTATTTTAACTGTTTACATCAATTTGGTTTTAATAATTGTATTAAACATGTTGCAAAATATTGCAAGGCAATATTTTAATATTGCGTAGTAAAAAATTTGGTTCATATCTAAAGGTCATATACTTCTGATGACTATACTATATAATTATTATCATAAAAAGCATTAACTAAATTTTGTTTTGAAAGCACAACAATATACGTTTCAGTACTCATTAAATTATCACTAATATTCAAAACGATCCCTTATTATGTTTTTCAATTTATTAATAAGGTTTTCCATATTTTTAATTATATTAGTTAAAAATCTCAAATTTTTATTAAAAAAATATTATAATTTTAAAGTATTTGAAATGACTTTGAAGCAATCTTGGGATTTTATAATGTTTATACTTTCACCTGGAGAATTATGTTTACATTGATGTGCAGAGGGCACCTCAAATTAAAACTCATAATAGGGGATCCTAAAAACAATAATTAAATCAGTTGCAATTCGTGTATTGACCTGTTAAGACGTGCCCAAAGTGCGAGTGCGAGTAATTTTAAAGTGTTACACATATATTTTCTCTTCATTTTTTTTCGGGAGTGTTCGAAATTCTTAAAATCGCGATCGTTTAAATTTGTAAAAAAATTATTTTGTTTCTTAATTCATTTAAACGTGACTTTTGGAGTGTTTGAAATTTTTTAAATCGTGTGTGTGTGTTTGTCTTTCCTGCTCAACTTGTCGACCGAAATATAGAATAAATCAACTGACTAAGGTTCGTTTTTCTATTAAATAATTAAAAAATATATTAATTTTTTTCATAAATTATTATCTTCAAGGTCGCGAAATTATTGTTTGAAAGCATTAATTACAATTTATATTTACTTATTTTTGTGTAATTTTACGTATATAATAAAAAAAGCGCGGTATTCTTTAGATTTGCAAAAAACGATAGCGTCCCTTATATAAATATTTGCGATAGTATAAACACGATCCTCTATCTTGGCGATATCGCGGAAACGAGATTTACGTCAAGTTGAAAACGTGGCATAATCACGACGTGTTATTACCTATTTGTCGGGCAGATTGTAACTGGAACGGTGATTCGTGTTGGTTAGTAGTAAAATCATGGTATGTTTGGAGAACGAGGATGGTGTGGCTGCTAGTCGCAATCCGCATAAGCCCCTTCACACACGATAAGCGAGCCGATAACAGGACAATCCCTCGCGCGAACCCTGCCTGTGATGCCCATACCCCCTGCAGGCGCTTTAAATTTTCACCGATTTTAAAGAAAATCGCCACTCTCCAAAGTGAGAGGGATATATAGATATATATTCACTGGTATAACAAGGGCGTTGGGAAAATAGAGGAAGGGGTGTGAAAACAGCTCCTATATAACACGAAAGATACAGATAGCGTTGACGGATAGGCTGGAATGGGATGAGCTGTTTAGAGATTTTCGAAACGATAACGAGCGTGAAGCGACATTGAGCTGGTGAACACACGTGCCCGCAAACGTGAACCCCGCGCGTATATGCAAACCAGTCTGTTTACTGGCAGTAGAGTTCCATGTAAACGCAGAGACTCCAATCCCGTTGGCTTTTTGTTTTTGGCAATTAACCTTTTTTTCCCCGAAACGTAGGATTTGGGCTTCTTTATTTTATCGAATTAGGTTTGAATTGAACGGTATTTGAAAATTATTTCTGTTTTTTCCACTGTTTTGGTCGGGAGTCAAATTGGTCTTTTGGTATTAAGACTCTCGACTGATGTGCGTTAGGTTCGTAGTTCGATTCCCGCCTCGTTTAAAATTTTTTCATTCATTAAAGTCTCTCAGTGCAGTAATATTACTTGAATATTACCTTGATAATACAATATTACAATGTAATTTCTAATTCTTCTGATAATTTTCACCTGATGTAATAATTTCGAAACATTTCGAATGAACTAAACCGATTATCTTTCCCTTATTTTTTCCATCAATCTTACCCTAATTCGCATATTCTTTTCTGCACATTTTTTTCTTTTTATTAAAGCAGTTCTGCCGCTTTTCGCTATTTGTTGGCCGCGAGGTTGGATAACTCTGAGATATTACACAACCGTGTAAACGCAGTGACAAACGCTCTGGCTCTTGTAATAGTGTGAGTTCGCAATAGGGTATGTTGTCAATGTTGCGTGTGTACCATGGCAATATGGGAGATCATATGTCATGCAAGGGGGGTACAGACACGAGTGAGAGTCGACCCTATGTTACCACGTACATACACACACATACACAATCGCAGATTGAATTCCTACAACGCGCGCGGAAACGAATATAAGCCAAATAAAATAAATAGCAAGGGTTTTCGCGCGAGCCACGTTCCGTCCCTCAGGCTTCATATTTATGTGTGTGAGTTCTTGTGGATAAGCGTTCATTGTTTGTACACAAATGATTCTAGATGAAGCTATATATGTATATGTATATGTACGCAGTAGAATCTCTGACCTGCGACTATGGTGTTTCATATGTGTTGTGCGGCTTATTAATCTGACGCTAAAGCGATAAAGCGGCTGCCCACGCGACAGCTACTGTACTACTTCATACTTCCCTGCGTATACAATCTGCTCAATCCGAGCCTCAGGCACACTAATCGATTATCGATATGCTTCCGTTAAAATTCTATCATTTTTCAGATCGGAATTCTTTTCACATTGTTTTGTTGGTCCAAAACGATTGCTCAATTGAAAGGGAGAAATCAGTTGAGAGCCGTTTAAATTAATATATCTTTGAAGTAAATTTATCGTTAAGTGTAATTTTCTTTTTTTAATGTGCCACAGTGAGAAAGAAGGTTTTGAGTTGAGAATAAAAGACTTTGGTTGCAACAACCATCATTTTTTTGCAGGGGCGCTGTTCTGTAACTTAAATTCACTTTCACGTCACTTACACTACACTTTCGCTTCACTTGCACTTCACTTTCTGTGACGCGACTTCACCTTCACTTCACTTTTACTATATTTTCACTTCACTTTACTGTCATTTCGCTTTCACTTAACTTTCATTTCACTTATAATTCACTTCACTTTCATTTCGCGAAGTAAAAGCGAAATGAGAGTAAAATGAAGTGAAAATATAGTAAAAGTGAAGTGAAGGTAAAGTCCTGTTACAGAAACTGAAGTGAAAACGAAATGACAGTGAAGTGAAGGTGAAGTCACGTTACAAAAAGTGAAGTGAAAGCGAAATGTAAGTAAAGTGAAGTGAAGGTGAAATGAAGTTACAAAATAGCACCCCAGCATAAAAATTTTTGTTGTCTTAATCAAATTTTGGTTGTGCAAACAAAATTTTTGTTGATCCAATGAAACTTTAGTTGACTCCTATGTAGAAATAGATTTTATGTAGATTAAAAATAGGTTCAAAGTAACGAAACAAATTAAATGGTAAATATATGGATAAGAGATACGTGAAAAAGCGTTTAGAGAGAAAAAAATAGTTTTATGAGCTTTGATATCTTTGAAAATAATTCTTCCTTGAGACCAAAAGTGAAGATCAGTAGAGCGGAGTAACGAAAGCACGTAGTACAAGTCAAGCGTGGCGAGACTCTTTGTCCGAGTAACAATACAAGAATGAATAGCGGTCGGGGGTGATTTCGGTCGAGGGATGATGTTTGGATTTATTACAGCGACGCATTCCAACCTGATAATTCTACGACATGCTACATGTACTAAGGTACATTTTCTTCTCTCTTATCATTGACGAATTCTCCACGTAAATTTTTTTTCTCCATGAATTTTTGTTTGAAAAAAAAAATCTTTATACTTCTATAATATTATATATTACAGAATATATAAATTATATTTTCTGAATATAAATTTTTGAAATCAATGATAATTATCGAAATATTCCATTGAATAATATAATAGGTCATATTTGTTAGATGCGTTACATTAAGTCATCTCGTAATTCAGAGTAATAAATTTCGTTCACAGATTTGCTGTTGATGTTTGAACTGAAGGTAGAAGGATAATGTTGTTTCGGATGTATACTCAAGCCCAGGGCTAGGGCTATAATCAACGTCGTTTCATTAAGCTTTAAGCCACCCCTGAATGCTTCAATGCTAAAATCGACGTTCGGGGTAAACTGCCAGATCCACTACAGTATCATCAACCGTTACCTGACGATTTCGCGTAGCCATTAGCGGTACATTGACAGGGAAGCACGAAAATCATTTTAGCATTGGGAATTTTGACTATTCCAAAATGTACGTGTTCTTCAGATAAAATTTTGTACCTGGCAAATTCAAAATTGCACTCTCCTATATATCCATAACGAAACGAGAGGGATATACTTTTTTTAAAAAAATATATTTTATGTTTTTCTGTGAAATTAAAAATTACCTTCGTTGAACCATATCGTTTAATGATTATTGTGTTCGACGTAAAGTTTTCATTTATTATTATTTTTTTGCATATTTATAAAAACAAAAAATGTTATTTTCATGCACAAAAGAATAAAATTTAATATAGAGGTGTAAAGTTGAAAAGGTTTTGTATTGAAAATGAATAGAGTAAAAAAAAGGCATTCAGTTTGTTTGAAATCCATCATTTTTAGTGGGACAAAAAGAATGAAAGATTTATTCTAATAGTTTTGACTTTTATGATGTTGACGATTTTAAAACAAAAAATATTTTATTTATTACTTGCGTTTTCTAATCGATTTTATTGTTTTTGTTTGTTACAGGTGAGTTTCAAATGACTTTTCATCTTGTTCTATACATATTGTGGTAAGCGAGACAATTATATTATTATAATTATAAAAATTTTAACAAATTAATTTTAAAACAATTTTTTATTTTAATAATCGAAGTGACATTTTTATCGATTGGATTAACTAATTTTATGAATGTCTACGATATTAAGATAAATATTCAAAAAAGCTCGACTAAAAGCATTTTAAGATGAGGAAAAGTGTACTAGAGGTTGTCTGATTACTTTAAATTTCCGAGTGAGCGCATGTTTAAGAGATCGTTGAAAAAACGGTCGGATTGGTTGAGGCTCGGCAGCAAACTAGATCCCACTCTGATAAAAATCTGAAGATAGAAAATTATGTAAAGAAATTAAAAATATGTCGGATGTGGCAACAGCAATTTAGTGCTTTCGAAACGAGATAGAGAGAGAGAGAGAGAGAGACAAGAATTCGTATTTGTCGGATCGCTTGGTTTACGAGAAACATCTATCCGGTGTGGTGGCACCCCAACGAGAGAGGACTTCCTGTATCCGTTTACGTCGCTATGCAAACTCCTCTGCAACCCCAGAGATGCCCTATAGACTAACCCCTCTATTTTCTCAACACTCTCTATACGATACCCTCGCTCTTTCCTTTTTTCCTTTTTTTTCCAGGATAACTTGCAAAATGAATCAAATGAAGATAGAATCTTTTGATGTTTAAATCTTCCAGTGCAATTTTACCAATTCGTTACAGTAAATTTTTCTTTTTTAATTAATAATTTCTAATGCTCTCATCCTTACCATTTATATATTTTTAAAATGTAACAATATGTTAAAAAAATCATTTATATACATTTTTTTGTGATATGATTCACTTATATAGAAAGTAACAAAAAATTGTGATTCCATTGATCAGTAAAAAATGGAGCTGGTTAATTGCAAAAGCGTGTCTCCCTTTGTGTAAGGTATTAAAAAGTGTGTGGATTCCATGTATGAAATCGTACAGGCTGTATATTTTTTAAACGAGATAAACATAAGTGGTTAAAAGAGAGCCATCGACAAAAATGAATCTGCAAGTGGCTTTATATTTCCCAGTTTCAATAAATATTTATATATCTCTATATATCTCTCTTTCTTTCTCTCGTTTCAAAAGTATTAAAAAATTTTTTTTTTAAATTTAATTCAGTTTTTTTTATAAAAGTAAAATAAAAATATTCTATTAGTATTAATTAATTATCGAAGTAATACAATTATGTCATATTTTCTCCCATGACGTAATAATTCGAAGTTAAATTGGCTAATAAAATCAGAAAAAAAATTGACGTTTTTGTTACATTAATGAAATAAATTTTTGTTATTGCTGCTGTAAAAAGTTAATAAGTCAAAAAATTATTATTGATACGACTACTCGTTTGAACCCTCAGTGTTATGGTTATATGGGAATGGAGAATTTATAGCAATCGTTTAGGAAGAAGGTGGACTGTGAGTCGCGCAAAAAGAGAGCGGGCGGATGATTTATGTAGATGTAAATGCCGATTGCTCTCAGCACGTTGTGGCAGGTTATCAACTTGCACAGCGTGCATAAGGGAAACAGACTTATTTGCGGCTTGATGTATATATGTATATATATAGGTTGTTGTGTCCCATGGCCATGAGAAGATGCAATATCACCCCGTTATATGACAACCTTATATTTTAGTAGTAAGGTGGTGGGAGTCCCATTGGACGGTTTTCCAAGGGAAAACGGTGCACGGTACACGCATCAATCACCGGCATTTTAATATCGGCCAGCGTACAATACCGCTCGCGTATTTTCCTCTCCCCCTTGTGCCATCCGCCCCCGCTTTGCCAGTTTCTTTCCCCTCGATACTCGTTTTTATGGCAAATTCTTCTAATTCATTCGTGCCCGCTCGCTTGCTCGTTATGTCATCCGATTCACAGGATGTTTAATGCTTTACATCCTTTCAATGACTTCACCCCCCCTCCCTCCCCTAAAGAATATTGTTTACACTGGGAAAAATTCTTTGTTAAGGTTATTAAAAAAAAAGTTATACCGATTTTTTGTAATAAAGAAAATTTTTACTCTTATTGGAAAAGTTGATAATTTTCTAAATAATTAATATATTTGAATTATTTATATATTAAGTCGAGTGTTTCCTGAAAACGTTTCTTGTGAGAGTTATTTATAATTTTGATAGAGTTTAGTCGACCGAGCGGTCAAAACATGAATTGGATATTCGTGCTGGGAATTACTTGTCAGGGATATCATTTTATTCGACGCTAAACTGATTCGAGGATACATTTGTTATTAATTAATAAAACACGTTGAATACGACTGACTGTTCTCTCGCAACTCGCGTGCCTGCTGACAGAGCTATCGGATTTAAAGCGAGAGCTCTCTCTCTCTCTCTCTCTCGATTCAAACGCATAAAAACAGCGTCATTAGAATCGCGCAGTATGATTGCAAATGTAAATAAATTATCAACGCTTCAATCGTTTTCGAATAATTTCAGTTACTCCGCTTATTCTCTTCATACTCCTATTTTCATGACCCTTAAAAATTTATAGAACCTATTTCATTGCAATTTCGGATCATCATTTTATATTCGCTTTTTCCTAATAGGGTTATCTACTTTATCAAAAATTTTTCATTATTCACAATAAAATCTCCAAATATTTATTGACTCAATTTCAGTAATTTAGCTAAAAATATTGTAAGTTGTTTGTGAATGTAATTTTTTAAAATTACTAGGTACTGCTTATTAATTTATTTTCTGAAAAAATATTTATGTTGGAATCAAGTTACAATAATAGAACTTTTCCTCTAAATGTGAGATTACTTTTTCTTTCTAAATATCTCTGTTGCGATCGTTACAATTTTTGTATGCAATTAATTGCATTTGAAAAATGATCCTAATTGCAAGACAAAAGAAAATAGAAGACGAAAAAAAGTGTTCATTTGGTGGTTAAAGATACATATGTATTCAAGAGAAGCCGAAACTTCTCATTGGATTTTCAACTGGAATATAAAATTATAATCGAGACGAGAAAGAGAGCATGACGAAGGGGAGAAATGTATATTACCATTGCAAAGGAACGTTTTTGGAATATCCATTTCCAGTTAAAATTGATCCCTTTTTCACTAATTCATTCTTTTCCCACTAATTACTGATAGAATTCATTATTATAACGTATATATCAATATAATAAAGTTATTTGTTCATAGATATGTATAAACATAATACATTTTGTTTTAGTTGTAATTTGATTATGAAACACTTCATTTTACTCGAAGCATTACAAATATTTTTAATATGGTAAAATTAATGCAAAACATCAGAATGTTAATAAATTGAATATCATTTTCTATATTAATTGGAATTATAATTCGTAATAATTATTCTTCATTAATTTTGAAAATACACGTATATATCGGAATTATATATTTTGACCTTTAATTCATTCGTAAAAGAGTGTTTAAACTTTGAAGATTTTTTTTAAGGAATATTATATGATGTGTTCTTTTCGTTAATTACTAATAATATTCAGACAGCGAGAGAAGGTGGAAAAATATACATGAGAAGGGTGCTTTGAGCCGAGCTATCTCTTGCATTTACATAGGCAAACAGAGTTTTGTGTAGAGAGAATTGTCGGGTATAGCTCTGCAAGAAAAATGAATAAAATTACAAAAGGAGCGAGAAATTTTGAGAGGGCTGAATGACGTGTATCGAGGATATCTAGAGTCTCGAGTTTAGACTCTACCCTCTAGCGTCGGCGATTGTCAGTTTTCTGACAGTAAACGCGGGGGATGAAACCGCTTGGAAAAATGCGGAG